TTAAGATACAATCGCATGTGCGACGGATGATTGCTGTGCGTCGCTATCGCAAGCTGCGGCTGGAGCATAAGCAATTTGCTGAAGTGTTGCAGCTGCGTAAATTGGAGGAGCAGGAGCTGTTGCATCGGGGCAATAAGAATGCTCGTGAAATAGCCGAACAACATTATCGGGATCGTTTGCATGAGCTGGAACGGCGTGAGATACAGGAGCAACTGGAGGATCGCCGACGGGTCGAGGTCAAAATGAATATTATCAATGATGCGGCCCGAAAGCAAGAGGAGCCTGTCGACGATGGCAAATTGGTGGAGGCCATGTTCGATTTTTTGCCCGATTCAAGCAGCGATGCACCCACACCGCATGGCGGCCGCGAGACGTCAGTATTCAATGATCTACCGCATGCGCAGACCATTAATCAGGAGGACATCATTACACCAATGCACATCTCTGAGGATGAAGAGGACTTGTCGGAATATAAATTTCAGAAATTTGCAGCCACCTACTTCCAGGGCAATGTGAATCATCAGTATGCCAAGAAGGCACTGAAGCATCCACTGTTGCCGCTGCACACGCAGGGCGATCAATTGGCTGCGCAAGCTTTGTGGATAACCATACTGCGTTTCACTGGCGATATGCAGGAGCCCAAATATCATACCATGGATCGCATGGACACCACATCGGTCATGTCCAAGGTGACGGCCACGCTCGGACGAAACTTTATTCGCAGCAAGGTGAGTGGGAGTGAAGCAGAGCTTTAATTCTTATTAATACATTGTTAATTTGATCGGTAGGAATTCCAGGAAGCTCAATTGATGGGCCTCGATCCGGAGGCATTTCTTAAACAAAAACCGCGCTCGATACGCCACAAGCTCGTTTCGTTGACGTTGAAACGCAAGAATAAATTGGGGGAGGATGTGCGTCGACGCTTGCAGGATGATGAATATACAGCCGATAGTTATCAATCGTGGCTGCAATCGCGTCCCACATCGAATCTGGAGAAGCTTCACTTCATCATTGGCCATGGAATACTGCGTGCAGAGTTGCGCGATGAAATCTATTGCCAGATATGCAAGCAATTGACCAATAATCCATTGAAGTCTTCGCATGCACGCGGCTGGATATTGTTGTCGTTATGCGTCGGCTGCTTCGCACCGTCCGAGAAGTTTGTCAACTATTTGCGGGCGTTCATTAGGGAAGGGCCGCCCGGCTATGCGCCGTATTGTGAAGAGCGTTTGAAGCGAACATTTAACAATGGCACCAGAAATCAGCCGCCATCATGGCTGGAATTGCAGGCAACCAAATCGAAGAAGCCCATCATGCTGCCAATCACGTTTATGGATGGCAATACGAAAACTTTGCTAGCAGATTCGGCAACAACAGCTCGTGAGCTATGCAATCAGCTGTCGGAAAAGATAGCTCTCAAGGATCAGTTTGGTTTCTCCCTCTATATTGCGCTGTTCGATAAGGTCAGTTCGTTGGGTAGCGGCGGCGATCATGTTATGGACGCCATATCACAATGCGAACAATATGCCAAAGAGCAGGGTGCCCAGGAGCGGAATGCACCGTGGCGTCTATTCTTTCGCAAGGAGATCTTTGCACCGTGGCATGAGCCAACCAACGATCAGGTAGCCACAAATCTCATCTATCAGCAGGTGGTGCGCGGTGTTAAGTTTGGCGAGTATCGTTGCGACAAAGAGGAAGATCTGGCCATGATAGCTGCCCAGCAGTACTTCATCGAATATGGCACTGATATGTCCATGGAGCGACTATTCACGCTGCTGCCCAATTTCATACCCGACTTTTGTCTCAGCGGCGTGGACAAGGCCATCGAACGTTGGGCGGCGCTTGTGTTGCAGGCCTACAAAAAATCCTACTATGTTAAGGATAAGATAGCATCGCTCAAGATCAAGGAAGATATCGTTAGCTATGCTAAATACAAATGGCCGTTACTTTTCTCACGTTTCTACGAAGCTTATCGCAATTCCGGACCAAATTTACCCAAAAACGATGTTATCATAGCTGTCAATTGGACGGGCGTCTATGTTGTCGATGATCAGGAGCAGGTGCTGCTCGAGCTAAGCTTTCCAGAGATCACAGCTGTGGCCAGCCAAAAGACCAACAAGGTATTCACACAGACCTTTAGCTTGTCAACTGTGCGCGGCGAGGAGTTCACATTCCAGAGTCCCAATGCTGAGGATATACGCGACCTTGTCGTCTACTTTTTGGATGGTCTCAAGAAGCGGTGAGTAAAGAGCGCAGGACACAGCTCTTCGTTATCAATTCCATTTTAAAAAAAAATGATTTTTCATGTCTTTTACAGTTCGAAATATGTGATCGCGCTGCAGGATTACCGTGCACCTTCGGATAGCACCAGTTTTTTGTCGTTTTTCAAAGGTGATCTGATCATCCTGGAGGATGAGTCGTGCGGTGAATCGGTGTTGAACAATGGCTGGTGCATTGGACGTTGCGATCGGACGCAGGAACGCGGCGATTTTCCAGCCGAAACGGTGTATGTGCTGCCAACGCTGAGTAAACCGCCGCAGGACATATTGGCCTTGTTTAACATCGAGGAGGCGCATCATGGCCGACGTTTAAGTATGGTATCGAATGGTGGCGTGGTGGAGCCACGCGATCGTCCGCACACGCTCATGGAATATGCAATGGATCATTTCCGTTTGCCACCCAAGCGTACAATGTCGAAAACATTGACGCTCAGCTCTAAACGCAGCGAGGAGCTCTGGCGCTATGCGAGGGATCCGATTAAGGCGCCGCTGTTACGCAAACTGCAGAGCAAGGAGGAACTGGTCGAGGAGGCATGCTTCGCCTTTGCTGCCATACTCAAATACATGGGCGATTTGCCATCGAAAAGGCCGCGCATGGGCAACGAAATAACCGATCATATATTCGATGGTCCGCTCAAGCATGAGATATTACGCGACGAAATCTATTGCCAGCTGATGAAGCAGCTAACGGATAATCGCAATCGCATGTCTGAGGAGCGTGGCTGGGAGTTGATGTGGCTGGCAACTGGTCTCTTTGCTTGCTCGCAGGGTTTGCTCAAGGAGCTATTGCTGTTTTTGCGCACACGCCGTCATCCCATCTCACAGGACTCGATGCATCGATTGCAGAAAACCATACGCCATGGACAGCGGAAATATCCGCCGCATCAGGTGGAAGTGGAGGCCATACAGCATAAGACAACGCAAATCTTTCACAAGGTCTATTTCCCGGACGACACCGATGAGGCGTTCGAAGTCGACTCATCCACGCGCGCCAAGGACTTTTGCAGCAATATCTCGCAACGCTTATCGTTGCGCACAAGCGAAGGCTTCTCACTGTTCGTTAAAATTGCCGACAAGGTGATTTCAGTGCCAGAGGGAGATTTCTTTTTCGATTTTGTACGCCATCTGACCGACTGGATAAAGAAGGCGCGACCGATACGCGATGGCGCCAATCCACAGTTCACCTATCAGGTGTTTTTCATGAAGAAATTGTGGACGAACACGGTGCCAGGCAAGGATCGCAATGCCGATCTAATCTTTCACTATCACCAGGAGCTGCCGAAACTTTTGCGTGGGTATCATAAATGCTCACGCGAGGAGGCCTCCAAGCTAGCCGCACTTGTATTCCGTGTTCGCTTCGGTGAAAACAAACAGGAGCTGCAGGCCATACCGTAAGTGCTGCCCCTTATCCATTATACGTTATGCAGGCGTATTCAAAATTGAAAATCGATCATTCCAGGCAAATGCTACGCGAGTTGATACCCTCTGACATTATGAAGATGCAGAGTACTAGCGAATGGAAACGTTCCATTGTTGCCTCGTACAATCAGGATGGGGGCATGAGCTCCGAGGATGCCAAAGTTGCATTCCTAAAGATCGTCTACAGGTGAGCTAATTAATATGTTGAACTTTATCTTATATATATAAATATATATGTATTTAGATGGCCCACCTTTGGCTCTGCATTCTTTGAGGTAAAGCAAACCACCGAGCCAAACTATCCCGAAATGTTGCTCATTGCCATTAACAAGCACGGCGTGAGTCTCATACATCCAGTAACAAAGGTAAGAGATTACAGTCTCACTCAGATCAATGACGGCAAATCGAAGTGATTGATTGATGTATTTTGCGGTTTGATTGACTATTTAACAAGATTTGCATTTAAATAATTAATTAATTTATAATTTGTAAATCAATTTGATGGTGTGCTGTACAAAATTGTAATATCAATTGTTATTATAAATTTATTATGTTATATATTTAATACTTTCGCAGGATATACTGGTCACACATCCATTTACACGCATCTCGAACTGGTCATCGGGCAATACATATTTCCATATGACAATTGGGAATTTGGTTCGTGGATCGAAATTGCTTTGCGAGACTTCGCTGGGCTATAAGATGGACGATCTGTTAACTTCATATATATCTTTGATGCTGACCAATATGAACAAGAATCGAACTATACGAGCCAACTAGTAAAGATATATTTAAAAAACGAAAACAAAAAACACACACACAAACATATATTTATAATAATTATAAATTATAAATGCAATAATTGATATAACTAGAAATTATAGTTAATTACCTATCGTGCATGCCCACTCCTTAATACACATTCGATTTTCTCTTTTGGCTACTTTAGCTAATAATTTTTATACCAAAACCTGTTTTATATTATTGTAATGCATTTCTTTTGTAAAAATATGCAAACTCTTGTTTTTAGTATCCTATGCTACCACATTCCGTTTATTTAAATTATTAATTAAACATGTCAAATAGAACGTCTTGCAAATTCTCTTTATAGATAAGCTATTGTATCTATACATTTTGCACTCTATCAAACTTTATGTATATCTCAACTGAATATCTGTACTGATGACGTTTTGTATCAAATACATAGAAATGTTCAATTATTTAATAAATTATATAAATATACATACATATAAATATTAAACTTCAAATCAAAAATATAAACAAAAAATTTATATTAGCTCAAGCTGTTCTTTTGATTAAACTATAAAAACATGGAACAGTATCAAGTGAAATATTTTTGGCTGCCGGTCGGTTTTCTGGATTGTGGTGCCAACAGTTCTCAATCAGCGTTTTAAGCTCATTGCAGTTCGGCATAAGATCATCTAATGGTGGTCGGTTACCTTTGGACGCACAGAACATAATTGTTTCATTGCGTTGATTCTTCAAGTGATGAAATGGCTTTCTGCGCGCCATCACCTCCCAGAGAACAATCCCAAAGCTATAAATGTCGCACTTCTCCGTATACTTTTCTCCACTCAGAACCTGTGGGTATTAAGTTATTAAAATTTGATTTTCATGCAATACTTTGATTAACTCAAACCAACCTCTGGGGCCATATAAGCTACAGTGCCAATCGCACTCGTCATCAGAGTTCTCAGATCCGTCGCAGTGCCGAAATCAGCAATTTTCAATATTCTGTTATTGTCGGTTAATAGAAGATTTTGAGTCTTTAGGTCACGATGAAGCATCGGTTTCGGTGTCATGGAGTGCAAGTGCTGAATACCCTATAAATGGAAGTAGAGGATATTTGACATTTGATAAATGAATCAGACTCAACCTGAACACACTGAATCATCCAGTCTAGAGCTCTGGCCATTGTATACTCCTTTTGTTCGTCTCCGTGCAAGTAGTTATAGAGGGATCCACACTCTGCATAATCCATGACTAAGTATGCGAAGTTTTCGTGAGAACAACTACCATATAATTTTACAATATTCTCGTGGTTAGTGAGGGACAGCTGGTTCACTTCTTTTTCGAAAGCTTTCAATGCTGTATCCTTATTTTCGGCTTCAATTATTTTGATTTTTTTTACAGCGACATCATTTTTAAGCCAATCTGCTCGATAGACTATGCCAAAGCTGCCCCTTCCAATGCTCTGCGTGATTAATGAATGATTATAATTACTTTTTCATATTAAAAAAGAGAGCCTGAAGCTCGATTGAGGGAGAGATACGTATTTTAATGATCTTTTGATTTCCTTATTTTCCATTCACGTTTGTTTGAATTTTACCTCCATGAAATTTATGTCCGAATAGTGTACAAATCCGTAAGGTTTCATCATAGTGGAGTTGTCAGTGCTTAATAATCTATATATTCAAGAAATTACTTTATATTATTTGAAAAACATCTGGATTAAGCAAAATGTCGTTCTTACAGTTGGCTTTGAAGATCTAACACCAAAATGCCGTGCTTCGGACGCTTATGCTCATGTGGATGCAAGCATTTCCTAATCAAATTTTCTATGTACTGTAGCTTCAGCTCTTCTATGTCTGGCATAAGCACACGGATTCCTAAAGCTGTTTAAATATTAAAAAAGTTTCTGATCGAGCGATCAATTCTTACCTATGTGGTACCGTAAATCATCTTTTTCTATTGGATATAAATTATAATAAGGTTTTTTGCGTGCGAAAACCTCATACAGGATAATTCCAAAGTTGTAAACTTCGCTTGCGTCAGTGAAAATTTCTGTTTCAAAAACCTTAGAATTGTAAATGCATGTATTACATATGTTTTAGAGCTGTATGTAAAATGCACTGACCTCCGGGGCTATATAGACTAAATCGTATGTAGTTTTAGCGAAGTTTAAGAAACTTCTAGCGTCAACATTGAAGAAATTATCCCTAATCTTCAATCTCTTGAAATTGTTAAACAAGATCATATTATGCGGAGTTAGGATGTAGGTATGAAACGTATGCCGTATGTTCCTTCTTGTGTTAAGAAAACAAATGGCCTATAAGTGAATTTGGAAATGAAAAGAAGTTGAAAAATATGTATAATATGACGAATCTGTGAATATACCTCGGCAGCATCCAACATCAATTTAATAAGGTTATTTACTGAAAACTTGCTCCGCCCTCCGCCATGCACATAATCGTGCAAAGACCCATCATCTGAGTAATCTGATATTAAGTAAATGCCTTCCTTACCTAATGAGTAGCCATATAAATTTACAAGGAATGCACTATTTATCCTTATATTCTTATTAAGTTTCATTTTAAAAGACAATGTTGGAGTCCATTGATCAGTCGAAAACTTCAATTTAGTTATAGTTTTTTCCATATTAAGCCACGTTGCTCTTTGGGAAACACTAAAGCAATCTTCACCGATTTTCTGTGGATGAAAATATGAATACCAAAATCTCAATTAAACAAATTTGGTAAAGGAAATGAAGACTAAGTCTTCACTCAAAACAGAGCTTCTGTGCAGCTGCCTCTTTCATCAGTCAGTAAGTTGGAGTATATAGATCTTTAATACAACCTTGCCCATATCAATTATATCCATATCTACATATAATCCTAAGTATTCCGGTATTAACTGATCAAGGCACTCTTCTTTTTCGCTGTAATAAAACATTTGATTTAATTGATTATTGTATTTGTTATTATCTTCAATTGCTAATATTCCACTTACAGGATTCCGCTGAGTGTAGATATAACCATTTGAATAGTTGGTCTCTCATCTGGATTTGTGTTCCAACAGTTCCTCATTAAACTCTTCAACTGGCTGTCGATTTTTATTGTTATTTCATCCATGGACGGTCGTTCTCCTAAGTAAATCGTATTTATTGCAATGTAGCATATTTTATTATCAATTTGTGTACCTCTCAAAACTGCCTCAACGATCTCTGTATATGTGTAGTTAGTGTGATGAAAGAGCTGTTTACGAGCTAATACTTCCCAAATGATAATTCCAATGCTGAACACATCACTCTGTCCCATTGCATTTTTCTCTCCATAAAATTCCTCCGGAGAGAAATAATTGGCTGCCTTTTTATGGTCTATCAATTTATCCGGAAGTATTGCAATCTTCACACTTTTGAAGCCAGAGTACGAAAATTTAGTACCGAAGTATATTAATTGTGGACATAGCTTGAGAAATGTCAGTTGCGGATGACGTAAGTAAATATACTCAAGACCCTAAAAGTGCGTGTAGTGATAAATGAATTAGATAAGCAAAATGAACTGTTAAATACCAATGCTGCCTCACGCATCCAGTTGAGGGCATTTTTCAACTTATATGTCCCTTGACATTGCTCATGCAAGAAGCTGTGTAGTGATTCAAAGCCCGTATATTCCATTAGGAAACACTTGTTGCTGATTCCATAGAGTTTGATAATGTTATCATGTTCGAGACTCCCAAATGTTGATGAACAAATTGGAAAATTAGTAGATATTTTATAGGCAGCAATCAGTTGATTGTCAAATTTACCGATATCGACCTCTCCGAAGACACCGTAGCTTAATTTGACTGTCTGCAAGATGGACTAGACAATTGAAATCATTTTGACGGTATTCTTATACTTACCTTTCCCAGGTGAATATCTGTTACATTAATGTTATCAGCCATCATTCTCTGTTCTATTAGTTATTCAATAATACGGAGCACATAAATAAAGAACACCTTTTCGTATGAAAAACTACTATGAACTAAGCAAAAGCTTATCGCAGAACCGATAATGTTGGATTTGTACTGCTTCATAAATGCATCATGTGTTTATTCGATAACAATAAAACGGTAAAAGTTATCGATATTGGAACTGATAACTGATAGAAATGTACATACTTCTAACTAACGCGCAGAATAAGTTGATTTTCATTACACCCTGATCCCATTGAAAATGGGAAATCAGGGTATAATGGTTTTGTGCAAATACATGTAACAGGCAGAAGGAGGCGTGGCGGACCCCATAAAGTATATATATTCTTGATCAGGATGACAAGCCGAGTCGATTGAGCCCTGTCCGTCTGTCCGTCCGTCTGTCTGTCTGTCCGTCTGTCCGTATGTGTGAACGCGTTGATCTCAGCATCTATAAGAGCTAGAGGCTTGAAATTTTTTTTGTAGGTCCGTGTATAGCAATATTAATAACCGCAAATAGGACTGGGATCAGCGACTAGAGCTTTCTTACTTGTTTCTATTAAATCTATTTAAAAAGAAATATCAACACATGGAATAATACTAAGTTGAATTTGTTTGATTACGGGCCGCTCCTCCGGTTCCTGATGCCAACAGTTTACAATCAGAGTTTTTAATTCCTCGCAATTCGGTATTAAAGCACCTACTAATGGACGTTCACCTTTAAATGTTTGCATTATCAATGCCGGTGTACTTCGATTCTTCAAGTGATGAAATGGCTTTCTGCGCGCCATCACCTCCCAGAGAACAATCCCAAAGCTATAAATGTCGCACTTCTCCGTATAGTTTTTTCCTATCAGAACCTGTGGGTATTAAGTTATTAAAATTTGATTTTCATGCAATACTTTGATTAACTCAAACCAACCTCTGGGGCCATATAAGCTACAGTGCCAATCTCACTCGTCATCAGAGTTCTCAGATCCGTCGCAGTGCCGAAATCAGCAATTTTCAATATTCTGTTATTGTCGGTTAGTAGAAGATTTGGAGTCTTTAGGTCACGATGAAGCATCGGTTTCGGTGTCATGGAGTGCAAGTGCTGAATACCCTATAAATGGAAGTAGAGGATATTTGACATTTGATAAATGAATCAGACTCAACCTGAACACACTGAATCATCCAGTCTAGAGCTCTGGCCATTGTATACTCCTTTTGTTCGTCTCCGTGCAAGTAGTTATAGAGGGATCCACACTCTGCATAATCCATGACTAAGTATGCGCAGTTTTCGTGAAAACAACTACCATATAATTTTACAATATTCTGATTGTTAGTACGGGCCAGCTGTTTGATCTCCTGTTCGAAATTTGTCGTTGCTATGCTTTTGCATTCTTTGACAGCGACAACCATTTCACACCATTTCGCTCTATAGACTAGGCCGAAACTGCCACTGCCAATGGTCTATATAGTTAGGGAATAATCATAATTAGTTGTGCATATAAAAAGAGATAGTCGAAATGAAAAAATTAAGAGTGCTTTGGTCGGGACTGACCGACTAGGAGAGACCTTGAACATTATACAAAGCTTTATGGGGTCTGCCACGCCTCCTGTCTGTCTGCTACATACATTAAAACTTTTATACCCAGAACTCGCATTTTAAATAACTTCAGACGGACGGACGAACAGACAGACATGGATAGGCTGATGCTCACACATCCATTGGGTTTAGAGTATTAATAATTATAATAATTACTGTGAATACATATAACTGTGGTGGCGTTCAGTTGTGTAATAATCTTTATTCGTCTGAGCAAGAGTTCTTATACCCCGGCTCATACGTATTTCATCTCTTAGCCTAAGTACATAATGTAATGAGAGTGGTGCTACAAGCGGGAGCCACACTATGCTCTCCCGCTGTGTAGCTTCTTATATATAGCTTGTATATACTTATATGCATATAACATAAACATTAGGCAAAGTGCGTACGCTGCATCTCCCACGCTGCGGGTCAGATCACACATAAGTGGCTGATCATATTTCAATTGTTGATCTTTGCTCTCGCCCTGTGTTTATGTGTAGGGACAAATGTCGCCACATGCGTATTATGTATACACTATCATATGTTAGGCATATGACGCATTTATATGTAGCACACTCTACATTGCTTCGGTATTATTAATATGCTATTAAATATACCACATCATGTTCATGCCTGAACAATTACCTCAATCAATTCGATATCCTGATAGTTAACGTCTTCGTAAGATTGTATAAACTTAGTAGCGTTAATTTGTGAGCTAAATAAATAAGACATTAGCTTTAAGTATGAAGCATATTCATGAATAGATCAAGCATCGATCTCACCAGTGGCTATCAAGATAATTAAACCAAAGATCTGGATCTGGACGTTTTAGTTGATCCTGATGCCAACAAGTTTCGATAAATTCTTCTATTGAGTCAAGCTCCAACTTTTTTATATCACTCAAAGCCGGACGCATACCTGTAACTGTATAAATATTACAAGAGTTTCTGATCAGCTGATGAGTTCATACCTTTAATCATTTTCACTAAATTATGTGGATGCACATTGATTAACTCATAGTAAGGCTTCTTCCGAGCGAGCACCTCCCACAAGATAATGCCAAGGCTATATACATCACTCGTCTCGCTATATTGATTTTGTCGAAATACCTGAGTATTTGTGCATGCAAATATATACATATATATATATTATATATTTCGGTGGTATATAATTTACACTAACCTCTGGTGCTATATACGCTATTTCTGCAGTGGAATCTACAACATTTGAAGCTTCAAAAGGACTGCAATAATCACTAATCTTCAATCTCTTGAAGTTGTTAAACAAGATCATATTATACGGCGTTAAGATGTAGTTCAGAAACATATTTGTTTGCCTTTTTCTGTTAAGTAGACAAATGCCCTACAAGTGAATATGGAAACGAGAAGAAATATAAGTATATAAATATCTAATACGACGTATTTTGAAATGTACCTCGGCAGCATCCATCATCCATTTAATTGCGCTATTTACTGAATACTTCCTCTGTTCCCTATCATACATAAAATCGTGCAAAGATCCGCAATCTGAGTAATCTGATATTAAGTAAGTGTCTTCCTTGCCTATTGAGATGCCATATATATTTACAAGGTATTCATTGTTTAACTTAATATTCTTTCTTATTTGCTCTAGAAAGGGTTGATGTTCAGTCCACGCTTGGGTGGAGTCCTTGAATTTTGTAACTGTTTTCTCTTTACCTAGCCACATTGCTTTGTGGGACACACCAAACCGATCTTCCCTGATTTGCTGTGTATTAATAGATAATTAAAATATATTATATATACAAATTCATTATTCGATATCTTAAGCATATGAAAACCAATTAGAGCAAATAAATCTATAAAGAATTTGAGTCCGTTTTGGGCTCTGTTCGGTGTTCGCTGTTCGGTAATGTTACCTTGCAAATCTCGATATCAGCAAAGTCAATAATTGCTCCGGTATTAGCCTTCAATACTTGGTCGAGGTCCGCGTTAATTTCTTCTTTGCTGTAATCAAATAATCATTATAATTTTTAATAGTTTTAATTACTTATGCTCCGCTTACAGAATGCCATCCAGTGTAGATATGAGCTCTTGAATAGTCGGTCTCTCATCTGGATTTGCGTTCCAACAACTTTCAATTAATCTCTTGAAACAGTCATCGATTGATATTTTGATATCGCTTATTGGCGGATGTTCTCCTGAGGAAAGAGTTCTAATTGTTATATAATATAACTACGCATCTCCTTGAGTACCTCTCAAGACTGCCTCAAATATATCGTGCGATGTATACGCCGTGTTATAAAAGAGTTTTTTACGTGTTAATAATTCCCAAATGGTAGTTCCTATGCTGTACATATCACTCCTCTCTGTTAAATCGATTTTTTCCATTATCCTTTCGGTTATCGTCGGTGACAAATTTTGACATTTACTGGGAAGTACAATAACCTTTAAGTAGCGATAGTTGTTCGTTAACATCAAAAATTTTGGTGTCAACCTGTAGTACGTCGTTGTTGCATAAATGCAGGAGTGCAGGTACTTCAGACCCTAAAAAACGTGGAGTGATAGTTGAGTTAGATGAGCAAAATAAGCCGTTAAAATTAACCTTTGCTGCCTGATGCATCCAATCGAGGGCATTTCTCAAAGAATATTCCCTCTGCTCGTCGCCATGCAGAAGTTGTTTCAGTGATCCACAGTCCGCATATTCCAGCATCATAAAACCATCGATAATTTCAGCAAATTTGATAACATTCTTATGATTGATACGAAGTAGCAATTGTACATCGCTCGAATCAATATTATAGGTATTATCCACAACGACGACTGGATTTAGTGGATCCATCGACCATTTGTATATGAAAGCCTCTCCAAAGGCACCGTAGTCTAATAACTGTTAGATTTCTTGTTCAATGTAGACCCTCGCTTTTTTTGTTAGTTATCCGAAACGTACCCCTTCGATCGCCATATTTTGAGATATGCTTGCCAATTCGAATGTCTGATTTTCGTCAATGTGAGTAATCTCCTTCGATACTAGACCAAACCAGCCACAAGTCAACTTTTCAATATGACAAACTAGAATGCACTGAGCAGTTTGCCGATTTCCTAGCCGATGTGCCATTTAGTAATCTTATCAATCAATTGCATAAGTAAAAGGTAGGGTAAACTGGAATTGGCATTATAAGCATATAAAGTATATCGAAATAAATGTCTGGTCTCTTCAAAGCAATACATGCTAAACTCTATGATCGGCTGACCAACGATTTGCTTTAAATTTTGTGGAGAAACGATTCGAAAATTCCATTTAAAACGGAATTCCAGGACAATAAATAAAGTTAGCTAAAGTTAATTCATATTAAAAAGAAATCTGTGCATACAGCATAAATCTCATTCACATATTTGGAAACATATGAAGTATATAAAATAAGACTAGTAAGTAAACATGCTTCGGCAGCATCCATCATTCATCATTTTAGTGCATAGTCCCTATGTTGATTATCAATGATAATGATTATCAATGATAGTTGTGCATAGAACCATATTAGCAGTTTTATGTTATATGTTAATTCTCTATCTATTGAGCTGCCAAATATATTTATTCATTATGTGGCTTAATATTCTTTCTTAGTTTTCTTGGAAAAGATTTTGAATTCATTGATGATTTTGATGTGACACTATTTCGCTGATTTTCTGTAAATTCAAATATAAACATATAAACATATAAACATAAAACATATAAAACTCAATTAAACAAATTTGGCAAAGAAACCAACAAAGACTTTCCTCAAAATGGAGATGTTGTGCAGCTCCCTCATCATATCATATCATCATATCAGGAAATATATAATATAATATAATATAATATAATATATATATATATATATATATATATATATATATATATATATATATATATATATATATATATATATATATATATATATATATATATATATATATATATATATCAATAGTTGATATAGGTCGGTGCATACCTCTAGTGTTGTGTGCTGCAATTAAATAGCTAAATTAATAATTATAATGGTTATTATCTCTGATTGCATATATTCCGATGACAGACTGCCTGCCAGTATAGATATGACTTCCTGAATAGTAGTAATCTTATCTATCTTATCGTAATTTTTAAGAAACCTCGATTGATAAGCAAGTTCGATTGATATTTTCGACGGCTTTTCTGAGGAATTAATAATAATTGTAATATAATATATTCTATTATTATTATCATTTACCTGACAAGACTGCCTCAACTTTATCTTTGTTGATTTAACTTTGAAACACCTTTGCTGCCTGATACGTCCATGTGAGGGCCTCTCATAGCAAATATTCGCTTTGCCTCTCGTCCTGTCAAAGTTTTGCTAAAGAGTCATACATAAATATTTGATAAGCTCAATCAAATCAATAAAATCTTAATTTCTCCTAATAATAATTTTGAATAATTGCATTTGCATCAATTACAACTTTTTCCGATCTCCTAAACTTTTCTGAGCAGAATTTGTAAACTAAGAATTTTATAATTGAATTATATAAATATATATACTATTCTTTATTATGTGTATTTATTTATTTATGTGTTGTTTTTTTTTCTATGATTGCATGCAACCCCATTTTGACTCCCACACAACCGGCTGGCGATTCCCACGCATTGTATGTTTAGAATTTTCACAGCGTGTGAAAACCGGCAGCCGGCTTTAAAGTCAAGACTCTGATTTTCCAAGATAATTAGTGCAGTGGAAGCTCCTGGGAACTTTTTTAAAGACGCCAACCCCAGCACCTGCCGCTGCCCCTGCACCTGCTCGACCACAGCCCAACGACGCAGTCAAATGTCCAACTAGACACAGGGAGCGAGGGAGAGCAAAAATTATGCACTCAAAATGTGAATGTGAATGTGAATGTTCATTAAAAATTCAACTAATTTCGTATTCAGCTTCTTATAAGATGCCGTGCACGGCGTTGGCCTTAAGAAGTTGCAGCTCCAATTACACAGCCTGATGGTGGTGGTTTTTTCTTCTTTCCAACTTGACCTCTTGCTCTTCTCTCTCGTATCTTGCTCATCTTGCACGCAACGACGCGTCGTCAAGTTTGTCGTTTAAGTCTTTCGTTTGCCATCTACAAAAATAGAATTCCCACCAAACTGGGGGTGAGTTGCATTTGCTGACTGCTTCGCTGATTCTGATAAGACTTGTATGTCTCAGTCATAATAATTCAAATTAAAACTAGTAAGTGTGCTTGGGCTAGGTGTTTCTCAGCTTTGAATTGTTAGACTTACATCACAGAAGTAAGTATTAGAGGGATTCTATTATATATATTATATTTTAATATATATCGAAATAAGTTAAGTATAAAAACTGTTAAAAGCCAGAGAAGAAGAAACTAGATAATCTATAAAGTTGTGCCTGACGTTATCAATACACATTCGAACAACTTTATGTCAGCCAATTAACGCTAGCTAGCTTAGGTCTGTGGGGTATTCAATGAAAGCTTCAAGTTCGATGCTGTGATTAGTTTGGCAATCCAAAACGGAAGCGCGATAATTAATGCAAACGGCGATTGTTAATTTGTAAGTCTGTAAAACAACAATAACAGGTAGTCGGGCAAATAATGCATAAATATTAAGCAAAGATAGTTAAGAAGACGAAAAAGCAATAACAAAAACAAAAACAAAAAAGGTTCTCAGCTTATTGTCAACGCCTTTTGGGGCTGTGTGAATATTCTGTTCCTTAGACTTTCAACGCAAACAATGCGGCGTTATATATGCATAGACACACATACAACCAGATACAAAGGTGTATATATAGCATATATATATTTATACATATATATATATATATGGATATATATATTTCTTGACTATGCGTTTTTCGTAATGGCCGCTAAAAATTCAAATCGACCAACCAACCAACTGTAATTAAAGTTGAAGAGGCAGCCCACCGTGGGAAGTGCTGCACTTGTTTTGTTTAAGCCACACACAAAAAAATATTCACACGACATGGCAACATTTTCCCAAGCCGATTTAAATCGGCTATCCGCCTAACTAAACTCGCAGAGGACAAGACGGGGGCGGGGCCTGCGGGTAAATTCTTATAATTCCGTTTCCCTGTCATCATTTTTGCTGCTAAAGCAGAAGAAAAATGTTAAATCATGGCAAATTTTGAACTGATTTTGTTTTTTTTCTTGGTGTTGACTGACATTGTTAATGTTTGTTCTTGTATTTTTATTTAAAGTTAGGGTTTCTCTTAGGCTTACAACTTTCATCATTCAGTTATCTTACAAAATTATATGCTTTGTATATAAATCTATATATATGTGGTCTAGAGCTGGGCTTATGTAGAGCTTAGCTTAAGTGAATTAAGCGTGAACAATTCTTAAGTGTTTGCCATATAAAGATTTATAAATTAAAATGTCGCAAACATTTGACATAAACAATTAGTCAGGCACAGCGCATAGGCCCAGCATATACATCAATCTTCTATATACTATATATATAAATGTATATTTAACTAGAGTTACAGTTACAATTCTTCATGTCAGTGAGCTCTTTCGAGTTATGTACAATTATGTTTTCGTTAGTTTTTAGCATTTATACATACATCTATTGGTACCGGCTAGCACTACAAAAAAATGTAAATATTGGTCAACTTGAAATTGATTTTCATTCGATTTGTTCGTTTTGCATTCAAGGCGATCGCTTTTTCAGTAACAAGAATAAGCAACAGAAATAAATGACAGAGAGATGTGCTGTGTATTCGCTTAATAACTAGATATAAATGTGTGCTAGAAGAGCTTTAAATAACTTGGCATAAATAATGTATATGGAATTGCAAATAATAGAAATACTGCCGCACTCAAGACAAGCCGCTCCCATGGCTATTCCACTGCACTGCTGAGATCGAGGGCAGTGTTTGATGCGTTTGCTGTTGCATGCTCTGCTGTAAACTGGAACCGCTAGCTGGTGAATTACTGCTGTTGTTGTTATTGTTGTTATTATTATTGCTGTTGCTATTGTTATTGTTATTGTTACTGATGCCTGTGATGTTATTGTTATTGTGACGCGTACGCATAACATCCTCAGCCTGATTACAATGCGAACGCGGCCCAGGCTCCGGCGTATAGGTGAATGTTAGACCAGTGGCATAAATGATGCCATCATTGCGCACCAATGATATAGGCACCTGAGTCGGCTGTCGCACCTGCCGAAATAATATATATCCAGTAGTTAATATATATAGCAAATTAGCATACAATTCCATTTGCACTCACCCAAAGCCATTCGCCGCGAAACTGTGAGATTTCAGGCACTACACAGAGAAGCGTTTCCGTGCAGCGATACATGGTCTCCGCTTCGACATCGCCGAACCAGACCTGCAAGTGCGGCGTGAAATTGTCGCCACTCAGTTCCAACATAGCCACATCGCCGCCGCCATTCAAGTTTAGTGAGTTAACAATTGGCACAGGCGTTACCGGAGATCTGAATATATTTAACGAAAAATCAATAGTAAAAACTAATTTTAATATTTAAAAACTTACGCCACTGGACCCATGCCCTCGTAGAATTGATATTCAGCTTTGTCGGTGGATATGATTGTCCAGCAGGCGCCATCGTTGATCATCTCCTTGTTCGGCTCTTTGGGACACGGCGTGGCCTGAAATTGTATGATCTTCTCCTGGGAGAGGCATAGATACATACGATCCGTATCCTTCATATAGAAGGCGCACTTATGCAGTTGCGACACCGGATCATCTGCCTCCAGCAGTGCCATCTGTTTGTCCACTTTGCGTATGATTAGACGCGGCAGGGCCATGCCCGTCACAGAGCAGACCAGCTTAACTGTCGCACCATAGTGGATATAGCCGTCGCGCACTTGAAACTCCTCCGACTCGGACTCATTGTCATCGAGCAGATGTATCGTAAAGGCGCCCCATTGCGTTGACGAGGCGTGAAAATGTCCATTCTCCACGTGCAAATAGCGTGTGGAGACAGTTTGGGAGCGCAGGCGATTGAACAGGGCGACATTGGTGCCGCTGGCTATGCACAGATCGGCATTTTTCAGCGATTGCTTCTTTTTGGACGGCTTCGAGATGACCTTGATGCGCTTCGAATTGAACACGCCAATGTCGTGGCCATTGCCATAGAACATCTTAACAGATAACATGAAATGTTTGCGCTTATCCGAATCGGATATGAACAGCGTCTTGGCCGCACAATACTGTTTGCCATTGAGATCCAGCTGCTGCATATCCTGATCGCTACTGCCAATGCCAATGAACGCGCATAGCTGTGCTCCCTGCTCGCTCTCGCCCTGCTGCAGCATCTCCTCGTAGCGCCGTCGCCAGCCGCTGCCAAACAGATAAATGCACGGTGGAGGGCAAAAGAAACGCTTCTCATTGCCATAGGATTTTGTGCGACCTGTGTGAAAAAATTAAGTTAAATTAAATCAATTAATTACATTAAATAATAATCATAAAAAAATAATTATTATTATAATAATCAGCGCTTGGATTATCGACAGAGACAAATCGTAACAAATTGTAACCGCAGCAATGCAGCTGTTAAATTTGTCGTATAATTAATTTCAATTATTTTATTGTGGCCGCCGTTTGCTTAATTTGGATGCAGTCAACTGTGAAGGATGCGATGCCTGGACGGCGGCCGCTGACGATGTCGACGCCGACGCCGCTTGAAGATCGCCGCGCCAAACCGCAAAAAATGCCCATACTGGAGCACTAATTCGCTGTGGAATTGCAATATTTATATTCTATATAAAGCTGCTCTAAATCTGTTTGTCTAATCTGTGCATGACTTAATTATATCAAAACTATGAAATATATAATACAATAATAAATTGGTTTCATAATTCAATTAAAGCTAGCTAAAAATGTTTTTTAAGCATTTTGTATAATTAATTATTAAATTATTTACCTTTAACAAGCTACTAATACAAAATTCTAATCTAAATTCATTTTTCAAATTATTTCTAATGAACTATAAATTAAATTACTTTTCGATAATTTTGTTACTTTCATATTTTTTTTAATTACTGTAATTTATAAAGCATCACAACGCCTAACAATATATTATATTATTAAATTTTTTAATTTTTAATATAATTTTATAACTGACCAATCAATAGAATTTGATTTTTTGAAACAAATCTATTTTTGAAAATTATTTTTAAGTTAATTAAGTTAATACTTCCACATGTATCATAAATAACTCATTAAAAAATTCAATTTTATAATTTTTTAATTATTCTGCCTTAAGTCTTAAAATCGTCAGTTTTTAATAATGTATTTTGTAACAGTAATATTTTTAATGGAAATTACAGGACTATTTCAATACATATTTTTTATATTTATGCATCAATGAAAATGAGGTTAAACTGAATAACTATTGCTCATATTAATTATGTGTGGTCTATTGATTACATTCCAAAATATTATTAACGATGTACTGCATGCTTATAACTGTTTGCACTTGTGACGTCACGCAATCGCGTTTATCCTCTCACGAAGCGCAACCTATCAGAGTCATGCTCCCTTATTCTTTTTTTTTTTGGTGTTTTATGTTTCTGTTTTGAACCCACCTTGGCGTGCAATATGACGATGACCATGTCGTTGCGCTCGCGCATATATTTCTCCATGGCATCACGCGTCAGCTTCTTTTCCTCAATGTGCGACCGGTATGGACCTGGCACAGCAACCGGCAGCATAGATAGCTGCATTTGTTGTTGTTGCTGTTGTTGTTGTTGTTGTTGTTGTTGATGATGCACTTGTAGCTGCTGTTGCGGCGGCGGCGCACTGCCCAGTCCAAAGTGCGGCATATCCTGGCTGTGGCTGTGCAGCTGACTGTGGTCCACGGTGTTGCTATTGTTGCCGGCTGCTGCTGCGGCTGCGTTCTCGTAGACAATGGCGGGCGGTGCGGCGGCAACGGCGTTTAAATTAAATTGGCTGTAGCTCTTCATTTAAGCACATGCTGTTTAAATAGACTTCAATTTATTTGTATTCCTTGTCGGTTATTAATTTCTTTTTTATTTTGGCAACTTGTTTAACAGTTTGGCACTACTTGCACTTGCACTTGTACTTTGTTTGTGTTTCTATTTTTATATTTTCTTCTCCAAGTAGTTGTATCCTGGCACACAGCACACGCAGCAAGCAGCAGCTGGCGTTTCTCACGGTTTCGCTTTCGATGTTGTTGTTGTGGTTTGTTATTTTTTTGTACTTTAGAATGCCCGCCTGACCATAATTAAAATGTGTAGAGTTAAGAGCGCGAGTACGACTATGACTGAAGCTTGATGCGGCTGGCGGCTGTTTAAACTTGCAACTAAACTGTGGTAACTGATTTATAATAAATAAAAACGAAACCAAACCCCACTAGCAGCAGCTACCAAACAAACTAGGGTTGTTGTTATCATATCGATATCTTTTCCTGTGCGTATATCGATATCTGAAAGAGTATGCGATAGTTTTGCAGAATTATCTATCGGTAGCATAAGTAAGAATTAGGGTAGTTTGTGACGTCAGTTCATTCAAAAATATTGAAGGCTTAAAGAATTTGTCTAATATACAATTACTTCAAGTTTACTTATGTATTCATATTAATTATAAAATGAATATGTAAACTGTATATTTATTTGCGTTAATTCTTAAAAAATATTTAAGAGTATTAAAACCGCAAAACATTTATTCAAATTTAAATGTTAATATTGCGGCAAATTTAAATGCTTTTTTTAATTTACTCTATTTGGTTCTGCTAAGTTAACATCTATGTGAATGCCAAAAATACTATTTCGAACCAATTGGCAGTTTTTAGTCTGTTAACGAAGCAGTTGGCAGTCTGAGTTCGTTGTGTGCGCTTAAAAATTTCATTTGTAATAAAGTCTAGAACCAACTACATAACAATGGAACAATTTAAAGGCCTTCAAAATCCCTATACATATGGACGGATAGCGGTGAACTGGACAAACGCGTACAGACACTGAAAGAAGCCACCGGCGGCGAGGTAGCTGTCGAGAACGTGCATCGTCTGTCGTTTTGTAAGTGCTAACAATATAGGGTGTGAGTCAGCATGTTTATAGCCAATTGCATGCATTTTAGCCTCCTACGCCAATTCGTGTTTCGATCTAATTGTAATTGAATGCGCCCAATTGACCGACAATTACGTAAAATTACTGCACATGCTCAAACCGAGCGGCAAACTGCACTTGTTCGCTTACATCGGACCAGCTGGCAGTTTGTTGCAAGAAATCAAACTGTCTGGCTTCATCAATTGCAGCGAGGATGCGTCGGCTAATACGTTGACAGCTGAGAAGCCTGGCTATGAGACAGGTTCATCGGCTCGGCTATCTTTTGCTAAGAAATCACCTAGCATGAATGTCTGGAAGATAAGCGGCGATGATGAGGAGCTAATCGATGAGGAGGAGTTGCTCGATGAGGAGGACAAACAAAAACCCGATCCAGCTGGAATTACGTTGTCTGCAGCACTACGGGCAAA